AATATATAAACTGACTGTTCACTAGGAACCAGTAGTTCAACATGAAAGAGTTGGGATTCTTGCAAAATAGGCAGCTTGGTTACCCTTTAGGCCACTACATCACAAAAAAAAATCAGATTGAAGAACTTGTAAAAAATATTCTGGAGGCACTGATATCCCTTGCCTTGAAAGTACTGAACAAATGACAGTATTTTCAACATTAATGAAAAAACATTTTACTATGCTATCTATCAGAACATTTTTTGCCCATTTAAGAAGAAACCCTTGCAACAGTAATGCACGAGAGACAATTTCTTCCCTTATTGTGCCATGTAAGAAATACAAAGACAAAAAGTTTTGGTTTTTTGAAGTGCAACAGCAAACCTACCTGATCTAGGCTTCACCATGAGACACTCAATGATGAGTTTAACTCATAGACTAACAGTTTAGCTTTGTATTATCATATCTATGTAGGCATTTTTAGGACACTTCATGTCAGCGACACTCCTTTTTTATTGAACTATTAAAGTGCTCTTCATACGATTCTCTCATGTACTGCATTGGCAAGTACAGTACTACATAAAAAGAAATGACTCGTGAAAGAACAAGGATATTGAAAAAACATTCATTGGTAACTACGAGGTTAAAAGTATTTTTCCTGGAGAAATTCAGTATTTTAAGCATTTTCTTCAAAGACATTTTCTGGAAAACTGGCAGAGCAGCTGGACCTATTTTGTGGCTTCCATCTGTACAAAGAATGCACAGTAATCTCCTCCAAAGATGGAAAAAACTGTGATATGCTTCCAAAAAGGAGTGGGTGAAGAAACTGTGAATGTATTAGCTACTGTTTTCCTTACTTAAACCAGAACTTTCTCATAACCATTACCAAGCAGGTAAACAATATCACAAGACAAACAGACTTGCACTAAATGTGTTTTTGCTTAGTGGATGCATATAGATCAGGTTGCTTGTTACAGGGGAAACAAAAACTTCTGATATGTGTCAGGGAATATAATTTCTATTTTTAGCACTCTGCCTTTCAGAACCAAACATATTAATTTGAAATTGCAAATGTTTGGTTTTCAGAAGTATTTCCCTAAGTGTGAAAGCTAATTCATCTCTGGCAAAACCAACAGAGATTACACTGTATTAGAGTGTATGGTCAATTCACAAGTTTCTCCTCATTTCCATTTCCTTTTAGCACAAGGATTGGCTTCCCAAACATTTATGTTCAGTGGTCTAAATGGGTGACAGATTACTTACAAGGGCTTGAATAAGGAGGAAAGCACTTGTTAAACACAACTTCATGCAGCCAGTTCAATCTGGTGGAACTGCCTCTATGGCTGTTTGAAAAACCTACTAAATGTAGTTTTTCCACAAGTGGAAAACACAAAACCAACGAAGCAACCAAACAACACATACACACACAAAAAAAAAAGGGTAAGAGGAAATAAAAGGGAGAAAAGGACTAATGTTTTTGCAAAATCCTGCAACTTGAAAACTGTTTGGATATGCTGTGAAGATACCTTGTGCAAATTGAGCACTGCAAGAGCCTTGAAATAGTCAGAAATGAATACAGAAAGGGTGAAGCTGAAAGAGTGCCTTGGGTTTGCACGGCAAAGTTTCGGTAGTGGGGGACTACAGCAGTACCTTCTGTAAGAAGCTGCTAGAAGCTTCCCCTATGTCTGTTGGAGCCCATGCCAGCCAGCTCCAAAATGGACTCGCCACTGGCCAAGGCCAAACTCCTTAGTGACAGTGATAGGGCTTCTGTGATAAGATATATTTAAGAAGGGGGAAAAAAACACGCTGCACAACAGCAGCTGGAAGAGAGAAGTGAGAATATGCAAGAGAGACAACTCTGCAGACACCAAGATCAGTGAAGAAGGAGGGAGAGGACGTGCTCCAGGCACTGAAGTAGAGATTCACCTGCAGCCCATGGTGAAGACCATGGTGAGGCAGCTGTCCCCTGCAGCCCATGGAGGCTAACGGTGGAGGACCCCATGCTGGAGCAGGTAGCTGTGACCCCATGGGAAGCCTGTGCTGGACCAGGCTCCTGGCAGGACCTGTGCCTCCATGGAGAGAGGTGCCCATGCTGGAGCAGGTTTGCTGGCAGGACTTGTGACCCCATGGGGGACCCACGATGGAGCAGTCTGTTCCTGAAGCTCTGCACCTCATGGAAAGGACCCACGCGGGAGCAGTTCTCCAAGAACTGTAGCCTGTGGGAAGGACTCACATTGGATCAGTTTGTGGAGGACTGTCTCCCATGGGAGGGACCCCATATTGGAGCTGGGGAAGAATTTGAGAAATCCTTCCCCTGAGGAGGAAGGAGAGGCAGAGACAATGCGTGATGAACTGACCACAACCCCCATTCCCCATCCCCCTGTGCCTCTGGACCGGGAGGTAGAGAAATAGGGAGTGCAGTTGAGCACGGGAATAAGGGAGGGGTTGGGAGGGAAGGTGTTTCAAGATTTGATTTTATTTCTCATTAGCCTGCTCTGATTTTGATTAGTAACAAATTAAATTAATTTTAGAATCATAGAATCATAAAATTGCCTAGGCTGGAAGTGACCTTTCAGATCATCTAGTCCAACAGTCAACCTAACACTGACAAAAAACATCACTAAACCATATTTCTAAGTATTACCTCTATCCGTCTTTTAAATACCACCAGGTATGGTGACTCAAACACTTCCCTGGGCAGGCTGGTCCAATGCTTCAAAACCCTTTCAGTGTAAAAGTTTTCCCTAATATCCATCCTAAACGTCTCCTGGCGCAACTTGAGGCCATTTTGTCTTGTCCCATGGCCTGTGACTTGGGAGAAGAGACCGACCCCCCCTGGCTACACCCTCCTTTCAGGGAGTTGGAGAGAGCAATGAGGTCTTCCCTCAGCCTCCTCTTCTCCAGACTGAACACCCCCAGCTCCCTCAGCCTCTCCTCATAGGACTTGTTCTCCAGACCCCTCCCCAGCTTGGTGGCTCTCCTCTGGACACGCTCCAGCAGCTCAAATGTCCTTCTTGTGGTGAGGGGCCCAGAACTGAACCCAGCCCTGGAGGTGAGGCCTCACCAGTGCCCAGGACAGAGGCACCATCACTGCCCTGCTCCTGCTGGCCGCGCTGCTCCTGACCCAGGCCAGGATGCTGGTGGCCTTCTTGGCCACCTGGGCACCCAACACCCCCAGGTCCTTTTCTGCCAGGCAGCTCCAGCCACTCTGCCCCCAGCCTGGAGGGCTGCAGGGGGCTGGTGGGACCGATGAAATGAAAAGCTTGATCTCTCATCCAGCAGCCCCGCACGGCCGTGCTGGACACCAGGTCTCCCCCGCCGCCCCCCGCCCCACCGCTCCAGCGGCCCCGCCCCGGCCGCGAAGGGAGAGGGCGGAGCGGGCTCTGGCGCCAGGCGAGGAGAGCTCCACCGGCCCGCACCCCCTCCAAGTACTCTTGCGTTAAAACGAAAAAACAAAAAGCAATGGCAGAAGGGCGGCAGACGCAGGAGCAGCCGTTCCTCTCAGCGCGTCGGGCCGCTGGGGCCACCGGTCGCTCTCCGGTGTCAGGCAGTGAGGGCGCCACCCCCGAGGAGGCGCGGGGCGAGCGCAGCCGGGTCCTTCCTC